TTATTATTATTATTATTATTATTATTATTATTATTATTATTATTGTTTATTACTTTAGGATTATTAACTTATTATATTTATTTTTGAAGGGACTAGACCAGTGCATAAAAATTATTCCCGTGATCCTCCCATAATCAACTTATTTCAGATTTGTCTTTATTATTAACCTACCTATTCAACTATTTTGAGATGTCGTTCGTTCGTTCATTCATTCATTCATTCATTCATTCATTCATTCATGCACCGTGACAATTCAGTTATACAGCAAATGCCAACAAAAATCACAATTTTCGATAGGAACATTTGCATAGTGATAGACAATCCCAATGTTATTCCACGGCAGGGTAATCTTTAGCACATGTATTATGCGTATATTATGTACGTTCCACGTAGTGAAATTTACAAGGCTGGTATTCTCATTTTAGGTTAGAAATAATCACGATGTATACACTTGTTATGCAATTAATACAATGTATTTATTTCTTTATATTGATTCATGCAATGCATAATTTTACCCGCGATAGGGTGATATGCTTTGGTTGGTACTGGGCAGGTTGGCTTTTCCGTAGATTAAATGTCTGTAAGATATATGGGATAAATAAAATTAGTAACCTGACAATGTATAAATATACTGGTAGTTACTCTAATAGTTATAGGGAGTGACAGATGTATACATAAGTATGACTTCTAAATCCAATGTCTTTGCATTTGATGATGTGGTATAATATGCATTATGCAGATATTTAAAATTAGATAACTATGATGTGTAATCAAATTATATATAAGTTCGACTTCCTAATCATTCAAAAAGCCATTGTGTTAGCAAATCATGACAAATAGTTGTTTTTTTACCTTCTTCACATATGTATCCCTTCGTTCTGGTACAACTATCATCGTCCCATTGGTGTTTGTGAGATGACCTGGTATAAAGATACATCATACATCCATTCATTAAATCATCACACGTGAACCATTATTAATTAACGTGAATCAAATTATATATACCACCAGTGTAATGTAAAAATAAAAAAGAACACAGGTAATGCTTACCACAACTGGATGCAATCTCCGTTACCGTCTGGCTGACCAGTATGAAACGCTGTATAACTCTGCACTTGCCCGTCACTCGAAATGATATCAGAACCTTGTTTGCGGACATCGATCCACATGTCCTTATTGACGTCTTCAAGCAGTAGTTTATTCAGTAGACTCATGTGAGCAACTTGGCTATTGTCTTTGGCTAATTGCATACCTTTGTTGGCACATGCAGGACCAGATTCGTCCCATTTAACTTTTTGTTCATTCACATCGAGGCTATCAAGTAGTCCCACCATGTTTTTCATTGCATCATCTGGCACAGAGACAAAAATGTTTCAATCAGTACAAGCTGCAAATCTTTGGAAGACTAGTCATTATCTCTAACATAGGCAACAATCAGATGATATTATTTCCTATTAACCTAGCGTCATAACACTTTTTTATAGTTCTCCAGAATCATCGAATTTTGATGATACATGTCCATACAAACAACATTAGTGACATTTTGTTCGTTGATGTGATATTTGATTCAGTCATATTAAGTATGTTAGTTATGTCAATGACAACAACAATACAAAACAATACAATACAATAGTTTCAGTTGTACTTAGCATTTGGCGGGGGGGGGGGGATCGTAACCTCTCAGCTTTAAAACATATTTTTTATGTCCTGGGTACGACGTTAAAATTGCATCCGGTTGCGGAGTTTTTGTACTCGGGAGAATGAGGTTACCCTTTGCCGCAACTACCTCCAGGTCACCCTTGGGCAAGGTGTAGCACCTGTGAGCCTTGGGTGCCAACTTCCCACATAACAAGTTCGGTTGACGTCAGTAAGGGCATACGGTCGTAAAACTCCTGCACAAATAGATCCGCACAGGTGGACAATTTTTCATGTAAATATGTAGATATTAGTTTCAGTTGTACTTAGCATTTGGCAGGGGGGATCGTAACCTCTTGTGGTGAGAACCAGTGTGACTGGCCTGCCAACGGGGTGCTAAGGATTTCATTGGAAAAGTTATCAGTTACATCCGTTAATGTAATTTCGTTTTACATACCCGTAAATCAAAAATCACAATACAATACAATACAATACAATACAATACAATACAATACAATACAATACAAACCTTGCTCTTCACAAATATACATGTACTTATTGTTACACGATACGTCATTCAGTTTCTCGCCGTTGTAATTATTCCTGTATAAATTAAGAGCCGTGTTTATAATGATAATTATGTGCACGTACATTTGAATAAGTATTTCATTTAATAAAGATGTGAATTAAATGCATATACCATCATAGAATAAATATATCAAAACCACTGATCACAGCTTCCAACTGTAAGGAATAAACCACCACTGTCTGTATACCACGGGTTATTGCATACTTGCTATTTCAACTCGGTTGAATGTAATAGGGCTGTATACTGTAATAATGTTCTTACCAAAGATGTACACATGGTCCATCACCATTGGGCTCACCCTTAGCAAATGGTTGATATGTAGCCATGGAACCACTCATTGTTAAAAGCAGACTGCCAACAGTTCTGGGGCCAATCCAGATATTTTCATTGGTAATACCTTGTTGTTGCATCTTTTCAAGTATAGTATAATGAACATTCTCATCTCTCAAGTCAGTTAGCATCATACCCTGATCCATGCAAGCCTGGGCAGCTTCTCTGTACTTCTTTTTATCAGTGAATATGCGGTATTGGTTGTCAAATATAGGTGTGGTCACAGCAGATTCTTTGTGAACAAATAGATGCATACGTTAGTAGTTGTATGTTTCTTACATATGCACTACTGTGTGAATGAGTGTTTGGTAGACTAATATCAAAGACACTTTTTCCCCAAATATAATATCATGTTTAACTTCTGATACGTCAATGCTAACTTACCATCGTAGCATACGTATCCCATCTTCGTACTACATTTGTCATCGTCCCATTGATATCCTTTTGATTTCCTGTCGAAGATAACAACTAACTATTACTCATATCGCATTTAAATGCATACTCGATAGGTTCGTAAATATGGAATACCATAACGTCGACTTTAGCAAACAAACGCATATATATATAGTACAAACAAAAATGTCAATGTTATAATTTGGCGAATATCTAGTGTAAAAGGGAGTTTTCTGTGCTTAAACAAAACAAACCATGTATATATGTCATTGTCTATATTAACGAAAAAAGATGGTTAAATATTCTAAGGTTAAATGTTCTAACATGGTCTTCTTAGACATAGATAACAAAATGGCCACCATATATAGACCATTAAACAACAGACAATATCTATAGATACATGAGTACAAATTGATTTCACATAAGCAAAATGAAAACGTGAGGTTGCATATCGAATTCAAATTATACTAATGAAATAGTGCTTTCACAAAAGTAAAATATATGAAACACGTCGAGCTAGTGGCTACCATGGG